GAGGACCTAAAGTGGTTGACGATGAGGTCATTCTCTATGGAATTACAATCACTTGTAATGAGAAAACTTCCTGTATTCGGAAGGTTTTCTACAAGCGGCATATGCAATATTATATTTTGAAAAATAATGTTTTTCTACTCTAGTACGACATGTATAAATGACGATCATTGCCCATATAAAAAACTTAATCCACCTCAAACATTCTCAAAGTTGTAAGTTATTGCTAATTATCATAGGCTTAAAAACACAATAAATCAAAATTTATACCATTTTGTTTTTAAATTACCGGACACAAAGTTACAAATCATCTCACAAACTTTCTGTATCCTCAATGTTATCCTCGCCTAACTTAAATTTTTGAAAGTGAGGTATATGGATGCGGCGCTTGTGCAACTGAGGTTTCATAAAGGTGTGTTTACCTCTACATATGGCAGCACATAAATTCTGCAGATTATGGGTAATAACATTAAGGCGTTCAATTTTTTACTATAAAAATTGGTTGCGCCTTAATTTAAATCAATGCATCATATTACACGTTTGTTAATGACATCACCTAAAAAAATTAATAGAGGAGTCTTTAACGATGGGGAAGTCGATGTTTATTTTAACTTCTTTTAAATATATTTTTTACCGTTTAGGTATGTTGATAAACTAACTGACTAAAATCTCAGATGTACCTAAGCTTACACTTATCCACCTGTATAAATAGACATGGTGATGACAATAACCGCAAACGTTTTTCCAAAAGATTGTTTAGTTCACTGACCATGATACAAACATTCATGATGAGAATAATAAAATTTATTGTTATATTTGTTATAGCAGTATACTTTTTTTGCGTAGGTTGATCAACGATAATTCTAATCAAGGAAAAAATGCATATAACCGATGAATAAAATACATATTAGATTGGTAAAAACGTTATTCCTCTATAAGGACAGACGAGGGAGCGATTGACAATTTAGAGTTATGCTACAACGGAAAAATTTCCCAACATTAAATAATCATTCCATAGTCAAATTACAATCTAAATTTCAAATTTTCATTCCATCTTCAAAAATGTCATTCCAATTTTAAAATTTTTCATCTTACTTGCAAACTTTCATTCCAAGAATAGAGTATCCCTTCTTATTTGGACTGCATGCTAGAGATGGAATGAAAGTCTGGATGAGTTCATGAAATATTTTAATTGGACTGACATTCTAAGTAAGGATTTTTAGTCATAAATAGGTTAATCCAATCTAAATTAGAAGATATTTGTTGTAGTAGAATGAAAATTTAATTAAAATATTTAATAAACTCGCCCAGACTTTAATTCCATCTTGAACAAATAGATGTAGTTGGAAAGGAAAATTCATATTTAGATGAGAATTTATCAAATAAAACTGAAAATTTTAGAATTGGACGAAAATTGGAATATTAATTTATAAATATGAAGGATTATTTTTTTATGGAGTGTTTTTTCAACTTTCATTTCTCGTGGGAATTTTTTTGTTGTAGGTCGTAATATAAATAAAAATTGTTGTCAACGTGCATGCTACAATAATATTTTTTTCTTAATGATGATATTTGACCATATTTAATATGGCTACCATATTTTCACAAGTCATTTAGTACCCTATATAAAAACATTCGTTGTCGTTTGAAAAACAATATATTTTTAACGTACTACAAAAAACTTTATGTCATTTTATATTCAGGTTTTACCGTGAATGCTAAAATGACTTTAATTTTTATCATTGCAATCGACCCTAACGGATCGTAAAAGTTTAAATAACAAAAAATATCTCTAACGCCGACTTAATGAAAATAAAACTTTACCACTTAGATGTCACTATTTGTTTTTACTTGATGTTCCATAAGTTCATCATCCTACTCAGTATCCTAAGTTTTATGACATTTAGTACTTTCACAATCAATAACGTCAACTAACTTAATGATAAATGATAATATAATGAGCATTTGCATCCCTGCTTAATACTCTTGATATTGTGTATGTACAAGATTCGTTGTTGGGTATGATTTTGTAATATTTATTACAACGACGATGTTAAATTTACATTCATATGTAGTAAGAATGTTGAACTTTAAGGTATAGAGCTAGTTGCGGAGAGAAGATAAACTTTCCTTACATTAATGTTGCTTGCAGGTGTTTGAAACTGCCACATTGTCCTGGCTTCGTTTTTATTTAATCACCCGCACAAAGTGATTGAGTGCAAACATATTCTAATACAAAGCAACTCTCTGATTTTCCCAACCAAAACGTTGATTTTCTTTTAATTTGAACTGTATTTTCGAGTAAAAAATATTTTCTAAAGTTGTTGTTTATTATTATTTTTCTTGACTAAAGTTGTTCCTCAACTTAAAAAGATCTTTGTACATCCAACCTCTATTTTATAAAATTATTTGCAATACATATACTAGGACTTGGCAGATGAAACTATCAACAACTTTCTTTCATCATCATTGTCCGTTACAACTTGGTTCAATCCACAATACGATTCTCAAATTATAGATCAAATTTGTTATGAATTATTAAATAATATGTGTAAGATCCTGAATTAGTTTTTATAAGGCAACTCAAGCATAATTTGATAGAGTCAACTGGAATCTGAAGCGTCATCACTTCAAAGGATTTTAAAATTTTTACATGTATAAAGTTAACCCAGTCTATTTTGGTCATAAGGCAAAAGACAAAAAAAGTATTGAAAACAACTTATTTATATATTTTTTCTCTTTATTTTCAACTATTTTATCATTTTAAACACAAAATAAAACGTTTTCATCCATAAGCGTGGTCGTCCATCCACCTACGGATGAAAAATATTGCTACTACTCTCATTAAAATTAACATATTTTAATTTTTGGGAGAAATTAATATCGCATTTTTTTGCCAAAAATTCATGAAATCGATAGTATGACGTTATAAAAACATCATACTCCTCGATGTATCTCGACTTATTTCAAGTCCACGTACAATCTTATAAACCATTAACATCATCATATGATAGTTACATGTAATAGCAGACCCGAAGAAAAAATAATACAACCACTAACAACAAAAGAGTCAAGGAAATAAAAATATAAGTTCATATAACAAAGAAAAGGTAAAGGGAAAGAAAAAATAATAGAAGTGGATAAAATAAGGAAACAAAAAGAAAAAATGAATGAAGGAAAAAAAAAAAGAGGAAGAAAAAAAAGAAGAAGGTAAAAATATGAAATAGGTTAAAAGGAAAACAAAAACAAAATAGTAGAGAAGCGCAATGGGTAAGGAGAAGGAAAAGTAAAGTAATGAACAACAAAATATAGCAAATTGACACGTTAAACCATCGGTACCTGTTGGTTGTTGAGACACAAACCTAAATTTGAACAACTCGAACTTCAACCTACCGGTATCTTGAAGCTTGTCGAGCCTCGAGTTACCGGTAGCGGCGGTAGGTGCATACATATATATATGTATGTATATATATATATAAAATAAAAAAAAACAAAAAAAACCGTTATAATCCATTTCTCCCAGCGAGCCAGCGAGAGCGAGAGCAAGCGAGCGAGAGAGAGAGAGAGTCTTAGCGGCATGTCCGGGGTGCTCTGCGGAACTCGTCGAGATTGCGGGCGTCTGTTCGCTCAACATGCACAAAAGACAAACCATGGCGGTGTATTTTTCCATTATAGCGGAAGATTCACTCTCGTTTTGCACATTTCGAGAGTAGTGCAACGAGGTTGTGCGTGTGTGTGTGTGCGCCCCCCCCCCCCCCCCCCCCCCCCCCACACACACACACACACACACACACACACACACACACACACACGCACACACTTTGTGTGTGTGTGTGTGTGTGTGTGTGTGTGTGTGTGCGCACCCTCCCCCCCCCCCTCTCAAGCGGTAAATGAGAATGAATCATTCCCCATTGTCGGGGAAAATTCATTATCTTTTCGAACAAACTCAATCCCCTGCGCGCGCGCGCGCGAGAGAGAGAGAGAGAGAAAGAAAGAAAAAAAGAAAGAGAGAGCCTTGCTGCACTACACTCAAAATGTGCAAGACGAGAGTAAATCTTCCGCGAGAACATGGAAAGATACACCGCCATGATTTGTCTTTTGTGCACATCGAGATTAGCGGACAGACGTCCGTAGTCTCAGTGGGCTGTGCGGAGCACCCCGCACAAGCCGCCGGGACTCTCTCTCTCTCTCTCTCTCTCTCTCTCTCTCTCGCACGTAAGGAAGCGACTGGGCATTGGCTTGCCTGACCCCCAAAAATCGTGGCGTGTTAACGGCCACTTGTGATCGAGTTTTGTATGATATTGTCAAGAAAAAACTGACATTGTGGCATAATGAGCGCTAGAACTGGTGATCTACCCCTACATGTTTCAGCCACACGCCGCATCAGGGGTTGAAAAGCTCGACGGATTGGCTGCGAGCGCAAACTGTAAAATGCAGGAATTCACCCTAGCGACTGAGTGGGCTGTGAGCGCTAACTGTAGCCCCATCGGGCGAGGCTTGTGACCCTGGATAAAGTCAGCCTTTCTCCACAGGCTTTCCTTTGGGCTCTTGCTCTTTGCTTTTCCCCCGGCCGTTTTGCCCTTGGGCCTTTTCGTTAGGCCCTCTCCGTGGTTCTTTCCTTTGGCTTCTTACCCTTATATGCTTTTCCTGTGGGCTTTTCTCCTGTCCGTCATGCCCTCGGCCTATTTCCCTGGGCCTCCCCCGATCTTTTCCCCTCTTACTTTTTCCTTGGGCCTTTGCCGCGAGCTTTCCCCAGGGCATTGTGTACTCTGTGCTCGGCCTGTTCAATTCAAATCCTGCCCTCCGGGGGCCAAGTCCCACTTACGCTGATCCGTGATTTTTGGTCGTTGATCCTCCGAATCTGCGGTCAAAACTCGATCATTCGGGTAAGTGGGACTTGGCCCCTGGTAGCTGCTTCCGGCCTGCGTATCCCCGTCCCCGTCCTCCAGTCCTCGGGCTGTCAGGACTGTCCTTTCCAAAACCGCACAGCAGGCAGGATTTTTTACCCTCCGGGTCATTTGTTGTCGATTGACTCACCACCCTTCTGGTCCAGGCTGCACATCGCACGGGGGGGCCTGTGGGCGGGGCCTGGTTCTCCTTCTACGGCCTGGTGACTTGTCTTTTCTGCCTGTATGGAACTTCGATTGCCTGCTCATCAATCAATAGGCGTGGTCGCCTCTGTCCAATCCTAACGTCGTACACCCGCACACTAAGAAAGAGAAAGACACTAGCTGCGAGGGAAGCGGAATTGCGGTCTCGGCGATAAGTTAAGAGGTGAGTTGAGTTGAAGCTAGAGGTGAGTTGAGTTAAAGTTAAGCTTCTTCCATCCCTTCTTGTGGCTCTTCTTGTCCCCATCCCCATCCCCATCCCCATCCCCATCACATCTTCACGTCGTCCTTTCTCCAAAGAGCTCTCTACTTCTTGTTTCACAGTTCCATCCATAGCTGTTTCTCTCTTTTCCTCTATTGCTATCACCTCCACTTCCTCCTCCTCTTCGTTTCACCTCTTCCTCCTCTTCTTCGTCTTCCTCCTCCTCTTCCTCCTCTTCCTCCTCTTCTTCCTCTTCCTCCTCTTCCTCCTCTTCTGCTCCTCCTCCTCCTCCACTTCCATGTCCGTCTTGTGATCGCTCTGTCGTCTCCATTTGTCCATCGTCGTGATCACTATCGTCACTCATCATCACCTTTATCGTCGCACATCATCGTTATGTCGCTCATCGTTGATCGGCACTCATCATCATCAATCTTCATTGGTAATTTTCCTGTCTTCTCCTCATCATCTGCCCTTCTCCTCCTCCTCTTCCTCCTCCTCTTCGTCATTCTCCACCAGAGTCCATCTTTTCTTCAATTTGTATACTGGATAGAGCACAACCGGATGCCATGAGGATGAGCATGAGGAGGAGGAGGACAAGACGAAGAGGAAGGAGGTTCTTGAACAAGGATGAGTGGAAAAAAAGGAGGAGACCGAATCGCCTACCCACCTCCTCATATTTGTTTTCCACCTCTTCTCCCCCCCCTCCTCCCTATCTCCCTCCTCCTCTTCCCCCCCGCCCCCTCCTACCTCCCTCCTCCTTGTCTCCCCCCTCTGCTTCCTTGTTATCAGAGCCATCCCCAG